ACGAGGCCACATCCGTCTGGGTCTGTAATCTGCCCAACGACACAACGACGAACAGCTTTTTTTTTTTTTTCCGTGGCCTTCTTTTCATGACATGTGGCAAGGTAGACTAAATAATTAAGGTTGTAATGTTGAAGAGTCATGAAAAGATAACGAAGGCCACACACACATACACACTTCAGCGACATAAGCACTGTGTGGTTTAAACTATTGATGATCAGTGTGTGTCTGAACCAGGTCACTTCATAAACAGTGTGTACACAGTACAGCACTCATGAAGACGAGACTGAACTCACCAGAGTGTCTGTTCTGAGACAGGAACTGATGCAGAAATAATTTCTCTGCTGTCTTCATGTTTATTTCCAGGCTGATGACACCAACCAGAGGCCTGATGAGCTCAGGGCAAAACATCATCCATTTACTGGCATTTGTTGTTTCGCTGCAGTAAATGTATCTCTTCACGATGTTCCTCATCATCCTTTTTATGACTAAACTGAACAAAAATCCAAATAAAACCAGAAAAAAAGTCAATATTTTTTTCCCTAGTCTCATCTTGCATAAAAAGCCATTTTCATCAATTGGCCAAAATAGAGAAAATATTTTAACCAAAATTTATTTGATAATTTATTATATTAAATTTGTCAAATTTGCCTTAAACATGTCACGGTGTGGATGTCCTGAAAAATGTGTCTGCACACGTAGAAATAACACAATATTTCATGCATTTTTCATTAAAGGTTTGCTGTAATGAAACAAATGCTGAATCAAAAACACTAAATGAATTTTGCACAGAAAGTTCAAATCAAACATATTTCTGGAAGAACTTTAAGGCTGCAGCTGCACCCAGTTGTAGATTATTGATGTGTGAAATTAATTTGGTTATACTGCATTGCATTAGAGGTAAGTTATTGAATATAATAGCCAATAAAACGTCCCTAAAATTATTCAAAGGCACATTTTTCAAAAGTAAGAGCTGTAGTTCAACTGAATCCAGACCAATGGTGTGTGAAATTAATTTGCGGCAAATCCACTGCATATGAATTCAGTTGCACATTATTTTTTCTTTTTCTTTTTCTTTCAGACGCTCCCTCAGCCATCCTCTTAGAGAGGGATAAACACGCAGCCCATGTTAGAAACGGTGGCAAATGAGTCATGTGTGGACTGAAACTGTCTGGCTTCACACCCGTCTGAATCCAAAATCATACGGTTCAGCCTGCAGTACCACTTCTACCCAGAGGGGTGTAGGTTCAAATTCCTTCATCTTCTTTGTTATATTTTCACGTTTTCGTATTCAGCTGAATTTCTTGGTTACATCCAGGAAGGTGTGAAGTCGCGGCAGTGACTTTTCTACACCAGACGATGAGCAACTGTGGCCGACACATTTTGAATCCCAGATTTTACAAAAGTGAAGCAGAGTCTTCAGTTGTAGGTGGGTTTTTTAAGGGTTCTATTTATAGGGCTGTGAAAATGCCAAGGTAGAGTGGATCCTAGACACAGCCGCAGAACACTTCATGCATTCTTAAAAAAAAAAAAATCCAAAACACAGAAACGTGGAGGAAGTGTGTGTTTTGTATGTGTGTGTGTGTGTGTGTGTTGAACAGATTTAGCTGAGGCTCACAATGCTTTTCAGAAAAATCCCATCAGCTCTGGTTCCAACCAAGGCACAGGGAGATTTTCCTCGCAGGCGGATTGAGAACATGTCTTTAATGTTAATTTCTCTGAGTGTGTGTCCTGTGTACGTTGGGTTAGCGCTACAGAAGGGGATTAAAAAAAAAAGACGTGGTGTGTTTGTATCTAAATGCGGAGTGTGTAAGTGTGTGTCTGTGTGAGAGAGATATGCAATCCCTAAGTGTGCTTGCGTCTCATCAAGTAATGAGCTGCATTCGTTGAGCGCTGTGATTTGGTATTAGCAAGTCACCGGGGTGTCAGGGCAAAAATGTGTCTGCAAGCAAAGAGTCTAACACACACACACACATACATATACACACACACAGATGTCTGTGTAGAAGAGGATTCTTGTTTCTGCTGGACAGCTAACTATTAACTTGGCTTTCTGGTTGAGTAACTAAAGATCGTGTGTGCAGGGATTTCAAAGTCAACACATTTCACAATAAACTAAAACTATTACTGCTCACTATTGTTATGTTCCAACCTGGTTATTGTAGCACAGAGCCCTCGCTGATCTGTCTGGCTGTACACCTCCAACATTGTTGTCTAAAATTATCGGCAGAGGGCAGCATCGCAGACGACAGACACACCAGCGATTCATTTAAACCTGTCTCTTGGGCTGCATCTGTCCAGTAACTAACACAGGATTCACCTTTAAATGATGTACAAATCATCTTTTATTCCCTACAGTCTAAGACATTCATCCCTCTAAGGACCCTTCCCAACCCCCCACTCTGTCTGTCTTTGTTTATTTCTGCGGAGGAAACCTTCGGTGACCATTTAATCCACAGAGGATTCAAAACAATTGCACGGACGCATCGATACACGATTCTTTAAACCCACGGCATGCTGGGAAAAGACAATTAGAAAAAAAGACAAATCCCGGTTATTACAGGACCCCCGGTGGTGAGCGGTGAGCTGCAACCACTTAAGCTGTGCTCTGGACAGACAGGCTAACTGGGAGTTTGTACAGCAGCAGCACTGGTGGATTAACAGTCACGGAAGATTCCCAGTTCAGCCCAGTGGGAGCGGAAGACACCCTGAAAACCAGGCCAGCCTGAAATCATGATACCAAAGTCCAATTCGTCAAACGTCGTTTCTTTCCTTTATGCGATTCATCTGTCAGCGTCTGTGGTCGGCGAGTGCACAATGGAAAAACTTTTGTTTGCGCGTAATCCGAGAAGCCTCTGTGCTGCGTGTCACAAAGTGTGAATGCAGGGCAAATCCACATGGATTTATGGGCAACTGGAGAAGAGCATCCTGGGCAGAGTATCGTGTTTTCTTTTTCACTATCTAAAACAGATGGTGTTCTTGTAGGAATACTACCACAGGCTTTTTTTTCATAAATGTGGTTACAAGAGGTGCTGACAAATTGTCAGAGTAATTTCTTGCTAGATTGGTTTCCATCTCCAAGAACCAGCAGGGAAAGTGATCTGGTCTTTGACTAAAAACATGGCTGTCAACAGGGGCGCCAAACTAACCAGGAGTAGTTTATTAACCCTGACACTCCTCTAGTAAGTCTACAGTTTGACATAGTATGTTTGTCAGAAATAGTAGATTGTAAAAAGCTGAAAATTGTATCAATAAAATCAGCATGTTTTGGCAGACGGAGTCACACAACAGCTAATGCACTAATGTTTTTTAGATTATAAATAAGGTTTTACTACTGAATAACTCCAAATCAACAAATACAGTAACTTTTAATTACTGTGCAGATAGTAAACATTTTATATTAATATTTATAAAATGGACTGTACTGACTGTGTGTCATGACCGTTTTTGTAGAAGTCCAAAGTTTCAGCTTGGTTTATCTAAATATTGCTGTGTTCGAAGTTTGTGTTTATGCTCCATCATTTAAACCAAATCAAATTTTTCATTGATGAAGTGTTTTTTATAACATTGTTAAAGGCTTCGTTATTTAACTTTACATATATGTGTGTATGTGTGTATGTGTATGTCTGAGTTGGCGTCTGAAAGCGTCTGACCAGGATTTTTTTCCCCCTTGTTCCTGCTCAGACAGATTAGTGGACTCAGATTACATGGAACAGACAGACAGGCACACATCATATAGATATGCACACACACGCACTCATCTGCAGACGGAGAGCTCAGCCAGAGGTTTTTTTATGTGTGTGTGTGCGGGTTTTTATGAAACGAGTTGGGGGACTGTCTCGCAAAATGCACAGATGTTGATTTTAAATCCAAATTTCCTTTCTGTAATCTCCACATTTAATACCTCCCTCCACCTGCCCCACCGAAAACCAATCACATGTGCACACAGAAGGGGAGCCCGACTCCAGCGGGGTAAATGCATGGATTAAGCCCCCTCTTGGAGCTCCACTACTGTTGCCACCATTTATTTTCCTACTTAAGATCCATGGTGACCAGCTAAAAACCCAGATGTGTGTGATGGGCCTAAAATCCCAATAGAGATGGGTTTACTGTAGGTCACATGACCTGACAACAATGAGAACAACCACAACAACAACGACAACAGCAGCAGCACCAAAACAATAATATTTTGCAACATAGACACAAAGTGGAGTCCTGAGACATTTAATGTTGCATTATATGTGTAATGGCATTTTGTTTCTGAGAAAAAGGAATGACTTCATTTTGTTTTCTATTTTAGCCAACTGTGCTTCAGCCACACCTTAAGTTACTAATACATTAACCTGATTGACTTTTTTTCAACTTCACTGTTGAAGTTTGTCAATTGTTCCACAATGGGATCATCATGGCAGAAAGAAGTTGTTGATAAACTTAAAATATTTTGTTGTTGTAACTGTTTCTGTTGTAGCTTAAAACTTTGTTTACTTTTTACAAAGGAGTTCGCGATAAAAAAATAATCAGTTAATGAAACAGTCAAAAATCTCTTGTCCTTAAACTTCCAGTCATCTGGCAGTAGTTTTCATGCACCTCTGACCTTCTGTTGGTATCTACTGAAACCACAGTCAAACCCAGGCTCTGTATCCAAACAAGCCCAAATATGCCCGATAACATATTTGTTCACTACTGACTCCGAGAGTGTGTGTGTTTGTGTGTTTATGCAGTGATGTGGTACAGAGTGATGATGAATAGTGTGGCCTTGATAAGGGCACATAGAGGACTTCACTGTTCTCGTTTGTCAGCTTTACCTCCTCGTCTTTATCT